AAAAAAAAAAAAAAAGCAGTAAGAGTATTATTCCCACAAGATTAGGACTAGATTGTAAACTCTACAAGGACTGGGACCATGCATGATTCTTGGTAATGTATACCTAGTACCTAACATTCATTAGACACTCAATAAATCTTTGTTGAATAAATGGATGCATAAGTTGAATTTAAAACTTAACTAATGATCTTTTTTAAGTAAATTTTTTATTTTGGAATAAATTTAGCTTTATAGACAAATTGCAAAAACAGTACAGAACTCTCTGTATAGTTTGGTGCAGACCTGACACAGTTCCCCCCATTGTTAACATTAAGGTGTCATAGTACTTCTATCAAAACTGAGAAACTGAACATTGAACATTACTATTAACTAAACTCTGGACTTTACCTCATGATCTTTTAATATGTTTTTTTAAATTGCACACCTTTCCGTTCTGATGAGCTCTCACCTCTCTCATCTAGCCCAATCTATTCATTTTACATATGGGTAAGCTGAGGCCCAGAGAGGAAGAGAACTTGCTCAATGCACACAGAAAAGATGAGACTAGAACTCACTTTTCCTGAGACTCAACATCATCACTGATTGCATGAGAGATGACCCATGTAGCTCTTGGTGGATGTGTAGGTGGTAGGTGGGGAAACTGGATGCCAACACCTGTATGCGTCAGAGCTTCATTGAGAAATAGGAAGAGGGGCCCACGCAACCTCCCTTCCAGCATCATTCCTTCTCCATCCTTGCAGCTGCCAAGTTCCCTCAAGCTCTAGTACCCCCTTCCACCCCCAAAACCCAAACCCATTCCACTGACTCAATTTGACTTATAGCAACCCTACAGGACAAAGGAGAACTCCTCCCATAGAGTTTCCAAGATTGTAAATCTTTATGGAAGCTAACTGCCACATCTTTCTCTCACCAGTGACTGATGGGTTCCAACCACTGACCTTTTGTTTAGTGGGCAAGTGCTTAACCACTGTGCCATTCCCTTCCACAGGATTCCTGAATCTTCAGTTCTCTCAGCCTCAGGCAATTCCTTCACACCGGAGGTCAATGGCTATGGTCAGCAAAAGGTTTAACCCTCTCCTCTGCCTTGGAGGATTTCACAATGAGTAGGCTCATTCACTGCTGTCGAGTAGATTAGATTCATAGCCACCCTCCTTGGGTTTCTGAGGTGGTATCACTATGGAAGTAGATTGCCCAATCTTCCTTCCAGAGAGTGGCTGGTGGGTTTGAACTGCCAGCCTTCTGGTTAGCAGTGAAATGCCTTAGGCACTACACCACCAGAGCTCCTACCCTTGAAAATTAGGGTCTCTGGCATCTCCGT